GTTTGTATTTCAAGGTTTGGGGGTCCTAGGGTGTTGAGGTTTTGTTTGGATTTTGTGGGTTGAGGAAGCTGCTGTAGGATCTGGTAGCTGGGGCTTAGCAGGCTTTCGTACTTTCGTGGGAAGGTTCCGGGCACCTGCTTCGGTTCGAGAACCCAAAGCCCCAAATTTCAGTGACGCCGCGCACCCGTGGTTTTGGATGGTTTTGGGCTCCTCACCCTAAACCCTAAACCCTAAACCCTAAACCCTAAACCCTAAACCCTAAACCCTAAACCCTAAACCCTAAACCCTAAACCCTAAACCCTAAACCCTAAACCCTAAACCCTAAACCCTAAACCCTAAACCCTAACCCACAAACCCCAAACCCCAAACCCCAAGCCCTAAACCCCAAACCCTAAACCCTAAACCCGAGTTCAGAGTGAGAAAGCCTGTCTACAAGCAACGTGAGAGCGCGGCCCAGCTCTTTTCATCCGAGCATGCGATCTCCCAGAACACAGACCTTGGACCCTAAACCCCATGGCGAGTGGTTTAGGGTTTAGGGTTTAGGGTTTAGGGTTTAGGGTTTAGGGTTTAGGGTTTATCCCCAACATGGCGCCTCCAGGAATCTTTTGACATGCCCACAGCGCTCACCCCAACTCCTCTCCTGGCCGGGTCTGCGCGTCAAAGGCGCCTTCGCCCCTGAATGCCTCCCCCCCAACCCCATACCCCAAACCCCATTCCCCCCAAACCCCAAACCCTAAAGCCTCAACCCCAAACCCTTAAACCCCAAAGCTTGGAACCCGAAGCCGCAGAGTCACAGGAGGAGTCGGAGCTGCTGGGCTACTGGAGCGCCAAGGGCCAAGTTTTTGCCCTGGGCACCGAGGAGATGCTCAGGCTGCATTGATCCCTCAGCCTCAGCCCCCCCTGAACCTTCGTCTTGCAAGATTTCGATAATACACAGCCTTTTGTGAGGGGTACATGTTTGGGAGCTGCCCACATGTCCCGACACTGCTGAAAATCCCGGGGGGGGGGGGGGGTGGGGGCGGGGGGCGGGGGGCAGTTGGAGGTGTTGTTTTTGTCAGATACCTATCACTGTACTTATAAGCCCCCCCCCTTAAGTAGGTTATAAGTACAGTGATACTTGGGGTTATAAGTACCCATGAACCTCCAAGTAGCTTCTGGCGTTCTGTCGGCAAAACGCGGCCACGCATTTGCTTTCGCCTACCCGAGGAAGCGCTCGAGGCGCCGATTCTTCAACTACGGTCCCTTGGCCTCCAGAAACCCTAAACCCTAAACCCTAAACCCTAAACCCTAAACCCTAAACCCTAAACCCTAAGCCCTAAACCCTAAACCCTAAACCCTAAACCCTAAACCCTAAACCCTGAACCCTGAACCCTGAACCCTGAACCCTGAACCCTGAACCCTGAACCCTGAACCCTGAACCCCCGTAAACCCTAAACCCTAAACTCTAAACCCTAAACCCTAAACCCCAAACCCTAAACCCTGAACCCCCCTAGACCTGAAACCCTCAACCCCAAGCACTGAACCCTGGACTCTGACTGCAAGACCCAAGAACGATGAGTGCCTCATCAGGCCAGGGATCCTTTAGCAATCCATTCAAGGTTCGCTACTGATCACAGCAGAGCGCCTGGTTCAAGTCTGAGTTCAACCTGCACTACTTGTAGCCTGCGAACCGATGCTGCACAGCGCTTCGGAAAGCCAAGTGGCAGTGCCCATGCTGCATGTCGATGAGGTCCCATTTTGCCCAAGGAGACGCAAGGGACGACGAAGTCCACCTTGCAGCTTGGTTCGTTCTTGAGAAGACATGCTCATGCCTTGGCAGGTCGTGCTAAGCCAGCAGTGACACCCATTAGACCCCTAAGTCCGAAATCCCTGAACACCTACGTCTGAAACCCACGAAGCCCGACGAAGGCATGTCATTCCAAGCGTCTTCGGTGCAATGCCTCCGGTGGTTGAGAAGCAGAGGCCGGTCCTAGTTCATAAGGATACGGAGAAGGAACATACTCGTACAACTTCAAAGCAATATAAGTACGAATGTATAGACAACCGCAGATTAGTAAAGACATTAGCAAATACGTAGATAAAAGGAAAAATGTGAGCATTCCTATGAGGGCTTCTGGAGCGGCTGTGTCTCTCATGCGTCGGGCAGTTTAGGGCTCAACCTTTGTAGCCAGTGGCTACTACCAGATAGTACGTAGGCCCTACGGCCCAAGGCTTGACTCCGAGCTCTGAGCGCCCCCCCGAAACTGCCAAAGGCTCCGGGCGCGGATTCGTCAGTCGGCGCCCGCGGCGCCAGAGGCGGAGGACGACTTCGACCAGATGTATGCCGCTGGCCTTAAAAGCGCGCGCGGCAAAAGGCTCGAGGCCTTTTAAGGAAGTTCGATGCCTGTCTGCTGCCACACTTTCGGTTTAGGGTGTAGGGTTTAGGGTTTAGGGTTTGGGGTTTGGGGTTTCACCTTGCATGCAGCTCAGAATGGGGAAGGTCTTGTCCCCAGACCGATGTTGACAGCGTGTGCCTAGCCTCCTTCGATAGAGTGTTCCTGTGTCTCTCTCTGTGGTTACTTCTGGCATGGCGCCGAGGTGAACTTCTATGATGCATCGATTAACAGCTGCATGGCCAATTAGTGGATAAAAACTGATCAGGGAGCCTTCCGAAAAGGGTTGCATGCTCACAGCCCTGGTCGTTGCTGGGCCCATTGCGTGAACGTGGGTGTGCTACAGGTTGTTCAACGACACAGTTGCCTTCTTTGTTGTTCTCTACATACATCCCTAAACCCTAAACCCTAAACCCTAAACCCTAAACCCTAAACCCTAAACCCTAGACCCTAGACCCTAAACCCTAAACCCTAAACCCTAAACCCTAAACCCCAAACCCCAAACCCTAAACCCTAAACCGCGGCTTGATTTGCCGTCTGCAGGGGGGGGGGGGTTCATGCAGATGACTGACAGCAGGCTGCGGCATCGGCAGCTGAGGTTTCATCGACTTCCATCATGACCACATGTCGTGCATGAAGGGGACGCCGCTTGAATGCAGGGCATGTGCATGCAGAAGTGGATTCCTCACCTCCAATTCCTCTGCGAAAGTGCTCCTGCTGTATGGGGTCCTACAACCCGCAAAAACTGTAGGGTGTAGGGTTTCGTCCAAAAGTGGCTGCTCGAAGGGTGGCTGGGCTCAGTCTTGGCTCCGCCTGCACGCGGCTGGGCTCCGATGGCTTAGGGCACTCGGGGGTTTAGGGTTTAGGGTTTAGGGTGTAGGGTGTAGGGTTTAGGGTTTAGGGTGTAGGGTGTAGGGTGTAGGGTTTAGGGTGTAGGGTTTAGGGTTTAGGGTGTAGGGTGTAGGGTTTAGAGTGGAGGAAGTCCTTTCTTCCAGGTTTCTGGGGTCCAGTGAGGGGTTCGGAAATGAGAAGAGAAGCTTTTACCTAGAGTTTGGGCTGTAGGGTTTCGGGTGTAGGGTTGAGGCTGGCCGCGGAAAAATATAGGAAAGGGTGGCCGTCCTGGAGGAGTACTTTGTGGAGGCTTTAGTCTATCTTTAGATCCTTGGCCTTTGTTGGGTTTATTGGGGTTTCTTAGTAAGGCAGCTAACAATTTTAATGTCTAGCTACCCTCCTGAGTGCAGCCAAGTCTTGTTTGGCACATCTTGGAGTGCTCTTGGTGGTGGTCTTGGCACGCTCTTGACATGGTCTTAGGGTTTAGGGTTTAGGGTTTAGGGCTTAGGGCTTAGGGCTTAGGGACCCTGAACACAGGTGGTGTTTGGGGGCAGGGTTCTTCAGGGGGAGTCGTTGCGGGTGTTGGGTTTTGTGGTTTAGTGTAGGGGCTTGGGATTTGTTTTGTTTCTGATGGCTGTGGGCAGATAGTGTAAACTTGTGTAAACAGCTGAATCGTGCAGATTCTGCCACAGCAATAGGTCTTTTGGCCTTCCTACAAGCTGTGCTTCTTCTTTCTGTTGGTTTGTAGGGAACGAGGGAATGAGGTATTCTATATCCCCCTATACCGTGCCCTTTAGGGGGGTTATATGGGGCTCTATAGTTCCCCCATTCCCTGCTACAGTAAGTCTTGGTATTTGTGCTTGCACAGGTGTTGATGGAGTCAGAGCGTCACATGCAAGCTGTTCCTCCAGGTTTTGTCGTTGTTCTGGCTCATCTGTCCGAGTTTGTTATGTTAGGGTTTAGGGTTTAGGGGTCTCTGTCACTGCCAAAGCCATGTATGTTGGCAGGTGTCTGCAGTTGGGGGACGCCAGCTTAGGAAGCAGCCACGCAATGGGGTTCTCAAGGTACGATTGAGTCCCTGCTTCGTGCCGTTTTCGAAGTGCCGACAATGGAAAGTAGGATTACGCAGGGTTTTCATCCTTTCCCTGTCCTGCATTTCCCTATCCTGGGCCCTCAACATGAAACCCTAAACCCTAAACCCTACACCCTAAACCCTAAACCCTAAGCCCTGAGCCCTGAGCCCTGAGCCCTAAACCCTAAACCCGCCCGAAATGCTAGAGACGCCTGGGCTGCTACAGGCTTCGGCTTAGGCCACTGGAGTTTCGCATCGCCGATGAGGCCTTCGGCGCCCTGGCTATTCATGCACAGTTGCTTGTGGCAGTGGCTATACATATATATATATATACATATATGTATGTATGTATATATATATATATATATATGTGTATATGTATATATCATGAGACTGGGCGACTTGTCTAGTATGTGTTGTGTTCGCTTCTGCCTAGCTCTATTCCAGCTCTCGCCAGTCATGATGCCTGCTGCGTGTGCATTCGGCGTGTGCTTCGCGCGCTCCGACCCCATGAATGGCTCCAGGGGTCGTTTTCACAATTTTCACATCGCATTGGATGCCCTAAACCTGAAAACCCTAAACCTTGGGATGTTCCCCCTTGTACTAACAGTCCTTAACAGGGATTATCATAGGGGGTACTAGAATCCCTACTCAGGACTGCTAGTATGAACATCCCAACCTAAACCCCTAAAAAAACGCACACATCCTTTTGGGAGCTCCTTGACATGGCTCTGCGTCAGGGCCTGCTGGGGTTCGTGCTTCTCAACGGCCCGGGAGCGCGGCCCCCACCCAGGAAAAGTGGCGCCAGTGTTGTGGCAAGGGTGACGGGCAATGCTTCAAAGCTTATGGACATCTCCGCGTGCGACGGCCCAGGTGGCTCGGAGGCTCGGGACGGAAGAAGAGCTGGATTGGAACTCCTACAGACACATGTCAGCAGATTGAAGGGAAGGGGACCGCATGTCGTCCGCACAACGCAGTCACCCCAGGTCGAAAAAGTCCTTCACGTTGGGGGAGGTATCCTCCTGTTGTGTTTCTTGCTGGTGCTCAAGTTCGCTAGCACTGACATCCTGGTGGGCATGGCAATCTTCCTTGACCACTTCATGACCTTCGGCCTCTTGCCTTTCGCACCGACAGTAACGCCGAACTACCAGCACATCGCGGTGCTGCAAAGTTCCAAGAATGTCGTGGCTTGCCTGCTGGTGCCCTTCGTTGGCAAGTTCATCGATGGAAACGAGGCAAAATCCGTGCAGCTTGGGCTGCTGTGCGCCATGTTCTGCAGTCTGGGTTTTGCCCTGGCGAAGAACTACGCCTTCTGGCTGGCAATGCGCACTCTCAGCGGATACTCAACGGCAGCAATTGTTTGGGGAGGCTTTGCGCTTGTCAATCGAGAGTACGCCAACGACGCGACCGCCCGTGTCCAGGCGGTGTCCACGGCAATGGCGGGCCTTTACGCCGGGATTTTTGCAGGTCCGCAGGTTGCTGGTATGTTTGTCGATGACTCGCGCTTGATGTTTCTCTTTCTCTCTGGGGCGCAGATGTGTGTGTGCTTGACGATTCGCGTCCGATTCGGTTCCGACCGGTCACAGCTCCAAGCGCTCCAAGAACCAATGCCGAAGCAGACTGAAGTGGCAAAGGTTGACATGCTGGAGTTGCTCCTGGACCCAGAAATCAGAAAGCCAATCGTTGCCCTGTTTCTAGGCTCGGCCGTGGAGGCTGCAGTATCTGCCACGACGTGGGAGTATATGACAAGCCTGGGATATGACCATGTGAAGCAGAACCTGACATGGCTGATGGCCACAGTTCCAGGTGTCATCTCTGCGAACCTTGTACCCGTGCTTCGATCTGTGCTAGGAGGTCAGACATTGCAGATATCGACGCTTCTCCTGGGTGGGGCAAGCACGCTTGCGTGCCTGGGCACTGACTACATCTTCCTGGCCCTAACCCTGGTTGGCACCAGTTCCACGTCTGGCTTGCTAAACGGAAATACAGCATCTACGTTGGCCGACCGAAGCCAAGAGAAGTACGACGGCACGGGTCAGGTGTTCGTTCTGTCTAACACAGCAGAACAGGTCGCCTTCATAGCGGGACCCTGTGTAGGCAGTTCTTTATGCCGGTACGCGAGCTTCCAAGCGATGTGCCATGTCATTGGCGCTTGCTTAGTGCTCTATGCTGGCTTGCTGTGGTGGCCTGACGAAGGGTCAAAGGCCAAACAGACAACCACGACATCTGGGACTGACCCGCGCTCGTCAGTCGAAGCTGGTGATTAGATCGTAGTGATCATGTCAACACGCCATCGGGGCACCGAAATCTGATGTCATTGAGCTTTGCGGCCGAGCCGGCGCCAGTGCATGCACGGATCCAGCCACAGATCGGGCCACGGTGGTCGCGGTGACACAGCTGTGCAGCGGTTTCGTTGTTTCATTGTGTTCGACGTGTCCGCATCGTCCGCCGACATCTTCCGACTATCGGGTATTTGATTCCCTTAGGGGAGGGCCCAGGGCTTCCTAAGGCGTAGCAAAGCACCTCAGTCCCCCCGCCTTGGCACTACGTCTTCGCCCTTACTGTGGTTGGCACCAGGAGAGCACGTCTGGCTTGCTAGCCAAGAGAAGTACGACGGGTCAGACATCCGTTCGGAGGCAGTTCTTGATTCCGGCGCGTGAGCTTCCAAGTGCCATGTCTTGGCGCTTGCTTGGTGCTCTCTGCCATGGTAGGCCGAGCAGGCCGACGAAGAGCGATGCCCCCAACATTATGATAATGATTGATTAGAAAATATGATTAGTGCTAGTAATGTTAGCAATATTTTCACTACTATGAATATGATTCATAATGCCAGCAGCAACACCGAAAGCCCTGAACCCAGCGCCCTAAAAAACCTAGTGCTCGTGGCATCTTTGTCCAATTGCTTGATAGAAGAAACGCTGTACACTCCGAGCCTGCAGCCGGTGTGTCAGCACAGGAGGTTTAGGTTTTTGGGTTTAGGGCTTAGGGTTTAGGGTTTAGGGTTTAGGGTTTAGGGTTTAGGGTTTAGGGTTTAGGGCTTCGGGTTAGGGCAGCCTTTCCCGGAAACTTCCAAGGCATCGACCTTCCCCGTCGCTCGCTCTTCTTTCTGAGCGGCCTCAGCCGGTGGCACCTGCAGCATGCGATCATGGACATGAGGCCAGGGGATTGCGTATTTTACATGAAGTTGCCATCAAAGGGGTTCATAGGCAAAATCAATCAGAATCACTTGACTTGAAGTTGCTCCTCGACAACAGCAACCCAAAAGTGTCATGGTGCCTTGCCTCAAGTAGGTCGAGAGGCTGCCGTCTAAGTGCTCAAACGTTCCACTCAACCAGGCGCCCAAGGATCATCAGCTTTTAAGGCTTAGGGTTGAGGGTCAAACCCTAAAGCCTCTTGGCTTTGTGACTCAGGAGCATGGAACATGGATCTTGTTCTCTTTGTCCCAGGAGCTCATACCTAGACAGCTTCCCCCGCGTGTTATCAAGCCCTCCTATATATGCACCCGCAGGCATGACCGGCTCTCCCTAACTTTCCGAACGGTGGATCGGTGCCCTGCCTGCAGCTCCAGAGTGTTCTCTGCGGAGTACTGCAAAGAAACCCCGTGGGTGTCCTCCCTACTGCGCATATAGTGATCTAAGTCATGGGCCCGACCTGTCTGGTTAGTTTGGAGTAGCAAAACGGGACCGTAGTATCTAGATCCACCCCACACACCAGCTTGTCGCTGATTTATCAAAGCCTTGCCTTCACCCACATGGTAGGGCCCAGGGCTCAGGTGGGTAAGCCGTTGCACACCACGACCTAACACTTCCCTACACCCTAAACCCCCCAAGACCCTCGAAAAAAACACCCTGAGACGGAAGGGCAAGTGGGAGAATCACAGAGTCGCCTTCATCGTTTTGATTTGCAGGGCCGCGTGTCAGGCATAAGTCCTTGGTTCAGGCCCTTTCAGGCTTGTCCGTTTCATCTTTCGGATGGTTGTGATGGATACATGCTAGGCTCACAGTGCGCCAACCCCCCTAAACCCCGAAACCCCAAACCCTTCACCCTAAACCCAAAACCCTAAACCCTTAACCCTTAACCCTTAACCCTTACCCCTTAACCCTTAACCCTAATCAAACCCTAAGCCCGGACCTCATCAGGTCCGGGAGCCGTTCGCAGCTTTGGAACCGCAGCTGGGCCCAGCTGCGCGGAGCAGAGGTTCCGCACTGAAAAAGGGTTTAGGGTTTGGGGTTTGGGGTTTAGGGTTTAGGGTTTGGGGTTTGGGGTTTGGGTTTAGGGTTTAGGGCACTTTCGGTGAGCTAGTGGAAAGTTGGAGATGTCAGCAGAGTGCTCTTCGCGTGAACCGATTGCTCCCAAACCGCGGCTGGCCAGGCAGCGAACGCACTCTGGCCATTGGCCGCCCCCTCGGGTTGCGCACGTTCGCAGTCCAGGAGCCTACAGAACCCCACAAAAAGCCTTTGTGAACCCAAAACCCCCCCTCCCACCCCTAAACCCTGAACCCTGAACCCTAAACCCTAAACCCTAAACCTTAAACCCTAAACCCTAAACCCTAAACCCTAAACCCTAAACCCTCTTCTTAAAACCTTTAAACATGCAAGGTCACCCCCGAGGGCTGGGAGTTGCACCGCTTGGAGCGCTGGAACTGGTGTGGCTTGGCATCCCGAAGCCCCAAACCCTAAACCCTAAACCCTAAACCCTAAACCCTAAACCCTAACCCCTAACCCCTAAACCCTAAACCCTAAACCCTAAACCCGAAACCCCAGACCCTAAACCCGAAACCCCAAACCCTAAACCCGAAACCCTTTTTCCTGAACCCCAAACCTTTGAGAACTGACCTCAGAGCAGTCCTTGGGACTTCAGGCGGTTTAGGGTTTAGGGTTTAGAGGGTTTAGGGTTTAGGGTTTAGGGTTTAGAGGCTTTAGGGTTTACAGGGTTTAGGGTTTAAAGGGTTTCGGGTTTTGGGGGTTTAAGGTTTGGCGGGTTTAGAATTTTAGGTGCTCAGGGCTTCGGGGTTTTGGGGGTTTTGGGGGTGTTGGGGGTTTAGGGGGTTTAGGGGTTTTAGGGGTTTAGGGGGTTTAGGGCGGTTTCGGGGGGTGCTGAGGGTCCACCCTTCCCTTGGCTGAGGCTCTTCCGAAGAAGCCGGGGGCCACGGGGGCCACGGGGGCCAGAGCTACTACCGGGTGAAGCGCCCTGAGGGCGCGGGGCCCTGGCTTTGTGTGCCCTAAACCCTTAAACCCTAAGACTAAACACCCTGAACCCCAAACCCTAACCCTAAACCCCAAACCGTACAGCCTTAACCCCTAAGCCTCAACCCTTAACCCTAAACCTAGTACACCCTACGCCCTAAACCCTTAAGCCTGAAGCACCTCCCCCCCCCCCCATCCCCCGAACACCCCTAAACCCTAAACCCGAAACCCTAAACCCTAAACCCTAAACCCTAAACCCTAAACCCTAAACCCTAAACCTTAAACCCTAAACCCTAAACCCTAAACCCTTATGGCAGTATCCCCCCCCCACATGCCACCAGTGGTGCGCCAGGCTACCCGGAGGCCAGCGAGCAGCCCACACACTCCAAGGCCAGGCTC